AACCTGTGATTAGAAACTCATTTGACAGAGGGCTGGCTTGGACATGTTTGGTCAACTATGCCACGCATAAACCTTCACCATCTCCCTTGCCTGCTCTTGCTGGAAGCAGCTGCGAAACCTTCCTTGGTTCTATCGAACATTTAGGATACTTAGGTCGTCATCTTGGATCATGGTGAACGCTTGATGCTAGTTCGTGCAGTAGGCCAGAGGCTCGTTGCCCCGGGGCGGAAGTTAGGTGAGTACCAGCGCAGCAGCATGCGACCGAAACAGTTCGCACGCCTTTACAATCTTTTGCGGTCACCCTGAACTCTGTGACTAAGATTCACGACAACTCGCTTTACTAGTGAGCCAGGCTCGTGGTACCCGCAACCATTCACCGGTTATCGGTCATGATATGTTTTTGCCGATTTGCATTGCGAGGTCCAAGAGCTGGAGGATTGGAAGAAGAAAGCCTTGGAGGATGTCCGAAAGCTTCGGTGACATGGCTTTGATTTGCAATCAAGGGGCCATTTAGACCCTGATTTGCTGGTAAAGTGTGGTGACATGCAAAAGAGGAAGAAAGAAGGATGTCAAAATAAATGGTCTCATTGTCTACAGAAAAAAGCAAAGACATACTGAAATACAAAAATTCAAAAGAGACAGGAAGGAAGCAAGGAAGGAGGGAAGGGATGGAATGGAAAGGAAAGGAAAGTATGGGAAAGAGAAAGGTCTACGAATCTAAAGAAAGAAAAAACACAGAACAAGACAAACAAGATAAACAACCTCTTACCTGGGAGCAAAGGGAGCAAAGTCCAAAATGCTCGTTTTGTTGCCCTTGAACCTGTTCCACAGCACGGCAAACAACTCACCAGCTTGCCAGGGATGAGCACAAAGTGCTTCGGCGTAAGGTTCTGGGCGAGGAACCAGTGGAGTCGGAAGCCCGGTCGGGACGAGTTGTTGTTATTTGTTGTTTATTTCGCTGGATTTAAGAGACAAAACAAATCCATACGAAATACCATAGGATTGGATACCAGAGATGAACTGGGAAAGCTGACCGAGGCATGTGCGCTCCAGCGTACGAGCCAAGACGATGCCTCCAGCGCACGCTGCCCTCTCCACTGTTTTATATGCAAGTTGGCCAAGCTGAATTTCGGAGCAGCACAAAATTAGCATTCTGGCGCTCCAAGTGGCTTTCGGCTTTGCCTACAGTATCATGGCAAATCCCTGTATATCCTTGAAAACAAACAGTGGCCCACTCACTCTGGGCCATGCTGAGTCGATGCTGATAATTCAGACGCAAAGTGAGAGGAGAAGCATGAAGATTCTAAGACCTGTTTGAAAACTTGAAACAGACCAGGTAGAAACATTTACAGTAGAGGAACATTCCTACGTTGGTGCAACATTGGTTGATTCATCATGGCTTCCATGGCGTGGCGAGCTTTGCCAGCTGCTTGTATGGCATCCGACACTTGGTGAAGGAGAAACGGGTGGACTTGGCCCATTTTGGCCCTAAATTTGATTCAGTGAACTGCCGAACGTACTGCTTACTGTAACTGAACATGCTAACAACTGCTCCGAACACGCCTTTTTTCTTGGGCTGTCCTCGATCCTGCTTCTCAAAACTGAAGGGAGGTGCAAACGTGCTGAGGTCGTGCAACGAAAGTTTTCCTGCAGAGCCGAGTCAAAGGACACGAGAGAAGTAGTTACTAAGTACTGGGGAGTGCAGAGCTATGAAGTCCAACAATCTTTCCTAAATTTAATCCGATGTCAGGACAGCCAGGACAGCTGGAAACCGCAAATAACTTGTTTTGGAGAAGCTATGCTGTGAGCCTCTTGGTCGTCCTTCTTGCTTTTGCAGATCTAATTGTTTGGAGAGCAATTCAAGTCTTTCCTGAGGCGCTATGTGCCTGACCCTGAAGGAGGTGAACAGAGTCCGTTTGCTGCAAAGTCAGGTGCTTGGTTGCAAAACGTTGCAACACATTTTGCAGAACACAACCCCAGACGAACATCGCCCAAACCAGCTCTGGCAGTTTCCGCCTTAATCAAAAGAGGATGCATACTTTCCCTTTGGTATCGATGAGGGAGTCACTTCATCTCTTCGGTCACGTCGTTGCCTTGTGGGAAATCGCTGTACTGAATTGAATAGTGTACTTAAGTTGAACTCAATCGTGGGCCCGTCTCACTCTGAGCATACGTAACTCTTTTTCTTGATCATTGAGAACGTTTCAGGAAAATAACGCTCCTGAAAGGGTGTGTAATGGGTTCAGAGGGTGCACAAGCCTTGACAAGACCTAGTATGACAGATATCAAGATGACCATCGAAACAATTTGGTTAGAAAGCTTTGACTGAACCCAAGATCCTTGCCCGTTGGGCGAAAAGCTCGAGTCTCTAGGACTCTAGGCCAAATGACTCCAAGCAATTGACGCCATTCTGAGTCTATAGAACTTGGTTCAGGTGGCTTCGGAGTGTTGGTGGTCAGGGACCAAGCAAGCCAACATGACCAGTGTTTTGTAATTGATCAAGACTTGACAGGTCTTTGACGTGAATGAAACAACTCGAAGCAGGTCTTTTGACAGGTTGACTCTCTGCCGCCTCTCTCTGCTGTACTTCGTTGGACCATGTTGGACCACGTCTTGCCGCCCAGGTGCTGAGCTGAACATCACCGTCGCCCTTTCAAAACTAGGACAACTTTGACACGTTACTGCGTCACCACTGTTACTTGTTGTTGCACCATTTGACATGTTTGAAAGTTGACACTGTTTTGCAGGACCGGAATGGTCCAATGGTAGTCAGACAATACCAAAGCTTGGAGAGTGTAAATATCGTTGTTTTCTATGTGTATAATAGTTCGCAAGAAGCATACCGCGGTTAACATGAGATGACTATAATTCGATATATTTCTAGAAGTTTGATAGATATTTTCGAGAGGATGCCAGTTCATGCCAGTTCTTCTTTTTGGATTTCTCAGATGTTTTTTCTTTTTTTTAAAGAAGAAATGAAAAGAGTTATGCGAAGCGTGAAGCAGCCATTTTGTCAATCAACTGTGTGAAGCCCAAGAAGCTACGCAGGCTGGGGTGGCCGTTCCAGATGGGTATCAGTGGTACCACAGGGCGCCGTGGTACTCAGCTCCGAAGAGAACATAGTGATGTTCCAGTATGAGCCAGGCTGACACCCTTCCAATAGTGTGTTGGTTGATGCTTGATCAAGAGTTCAGAAAACAACGCAAGAGAAAGTTGCAAGATCTGCGTCATGCCTCGAGATGCCTTGGCACACGCATTGTTCACCAGGAGATAACAGAGAGTTTGTTCACCCGACACTTTCAAGCTGACTCACAGAAACGCTTGTGTCAGGCAGGGTCACAAAACCCTGCATTTACCAAAAATAACGCCTCCATGTGTCATTTCGCATGGGCATCGGGCATGTAAAACAAGCCTCCGATTCATTTTTTGACATAGATGCACTCCACTTGGACCTTCAACTCTATGGGTAATTGACCTCCACCACAATGACGTGTACCAGAACTGGAATGCTTTAATTTATTTCATAATTACTACGAGGATTGTTAAAAAAGGCTTGTTCAATGATAGGAAGACAGCTGATTGAACATAACATTCCTATATATGCTATGATCCTCTCCCCAGTCAGCCTCAAGGTTCAGGAGTCGGAGTGTATATTGACCCCTCAATGATGCCGACGTTCAGGGAACCTCCCCTCTGCAGCCTGTCATGATCAAAGTCATGATGTAACTCTAGTCAAGATTTGGTAAAGTGTTTTATGCTGATCAACAAAGAAAGAGCGACCGAAAAACACCTCCTGTCACAAGCAGGCACCAGTGAAGACTTGACAAAAAAAAACTGTTCACATTGCCGACCGAATGGTGCATGATATGAGATGAAAAAGAGTTTAAAACCAACAAGATGACAGTCACAACCACATGACCTCCACTCCAATCACACGAGTGCTCGGTGACAACTTTGCGGTGATGACAATGTATCAAGCGGAAGATATGAATGATTATGAATGTGACATGTGCATAGTAGCGATGCACTTGCTACTAGTAGCTTCTTGCCACTAGTAGTAATGCTCTTGTTACAAGTAGCGATGCCCTTGTTACTAGAAGCTAATTACTAGCTACAAGAAGCATGTACATAACAAAACAGTCCCCCCACCCCGCCGCACCCCACTGCACTCCACGGCACCCCATCCCCATTTGATGACACGACAATTCACTATTCGAAGAACACGTTACGCAATCTCAATGTTGTGAAATCGATGACCAATGATGACCATGTTGTGACCGAGGACAACTTTGTGAAACTGATGACAATCTTGTGAAGACTATGACAATGTGACATCAACGACTTGTGAAACGTTCAACGCACGAAGACGTTGTGAGATCGATCAACATGCTAGCTGAGTGACACATGATATGATATATATATATATATATTAATATGAATCGAACCAGAGGCACAACGATGTAGAGAAAGACATGAAGAACCCTATCCGCAGCTCTATTCTCCGACACAACACCTCCAAGACGGCATCTATTTATCAAGCTTGTTCAGGGAACCCTTCTGGAGAGTCATAAGGGTGCCATGCACAGATTCTTTTGGAAAGTGTACCTTGAGCTAAGGTTCTAGGTGACGACTTCTTGAATGTTCTTAGGCTCGGTTCTTGGGTTCTTTGATTTGCTTTGCCTTCAGACCTGTTTTTTTTCCTTCCGTACTAAATGCCAAGGAAGGCCTACCCAAATGGAGGTCTGGAGAACTTGGAGCTGGTTCGCCGTGAGGTGGAGAACTGAGCCTGAGAGCGAGAGACGCGGAAAGAAAAGTAAGGAAAGAGACATAGACGGTTTTGAAACTAGCTTCTTGTTCCTAGTAGCGATGGCCTCCAACCTAATAGCGATGGCCTCCACCTAGTAGCTTCTTGCTACTAGAGACATGCAGAGACTTTGAAAAGATTGTTCAGCTGCTTGGTCGGTCGTAAATATCCCAGGTTTTCCCGAATTCACACCCGCAGTTTCAGGAATCAATATGAGTCCTATCTTTTGAGCCCAATGCCGCTTAATGCTGTGTGGGGCTATACGGCTTTTGTGAGCCCAGGACAGATTCCCTGGGAGATATGCACGATGTTTGGAGTGACATGTGTGTGCTTCATGGTCACTTTGTCAATCAGCCTGAGGTGGGCAATTCAGGATTGTGTAAGAAGTTCGCAACTCGTCGAGATAGAAAAGCGACCAATCATCCCAATACATTTAGAACTCGTTCGCATGATCGTGATGATCCCTGCGATTATGACGTCAATGGCAGTGATATGCATGATTCGACCATCGACAACCTTTGTCCTTGAGCTGCTGATGGCCATTTTCTCTTGTGTCGTCGTTGGAAACATGACCAGATATTTTTTGGCGCTCCTTGGGGAGCCGCCCTTGCCACAAGAATTGCTCGGCAGAATGCCCAAAAAACGCTGGTGGTGTGGTTATTTTTGTGGCGGTGTCAATGACACGCTCCCAGGGATGGGCTTGGTGTGGAGCAAAACACCGCATCGTGTCACACTAGTTGACATACACAGAGCCACATCAATGGTGAGAGTATTCATGACAGTATACATTCTCGTGAATTGTTGGCAGCTGTCCTTTAGCATGGTCCCCGTGGACGTCATGAAGCTTGACACTGGTTGGTGCATCTCCAAGACTGTGATTTCATCGTCCGTGATCTCTGGATTTGGGATTTTCCTCACTGTTTGGGCATGTTTTGTTGGGATGGCTGGTTTCAACGTAGTGGCTGCATCTATCAGCTCTGTCCTTGACATCGAGCTATCACAGGTGGATGGAGATGAGCACAAGCTCATAAAGCACTTCAAAGTTGGTTCGCAGTCCAAAATAATTGCAATTTACATGCTGCTTCCGTTGGCATCGCCAATCCTGAGCGCGATGCCCATAGGATTCCCAGATCCGAAGGTGCCGGTATCTCACCTGGGCCCAAATTTGGAATGTCCAGTGTTTGATCAAGAGGTTTGTGGCCACTTGATGTACTCAATGTGCATTGCAATTGGAATGATGGTGGTTTCAATCTTGAACTACAGAAGCTTCATCCCGGGGGACATGTCAATCGAGAAGCTTCCAGATGTGCTTGCTCACCTCAACCCTCCATCACCGCTTGATGTAGAAGACCTAGAAGACCTAGATGAGTCGCAAGGTGAGTCCTCAATGGAGTCGGAATAAATCTTGTCAATTGCTAATTCAGAGCTTTATGCAGCACAGCATAGCACAGATGCAGTGGCACGATGCGCTGTGTGAAACGAATTTGGTGCAGAAAATGAAACGGAAGCTGAAACGAAACGAAGAGCAAACCGGAAAAGACAAACCGGAAGCAGCAGCTCACACAAGGAAGAGAGTCTGCTTGAAGGGGCTGGGGTAGGCCGCGAGAGGTAGCGAACGTAGAAGAGGTAGCTACTAGCTAGTACGCTCCTAGACGCAGGATAGTGCTCACACTAGATTTTGGTTCCTAGATTTTTAGGGAAACTTAACTTCGCAATCACTTTGCAGTAGCTCTTCCAAGTTGAGCTCGTTGAAGGCGGGAGATGTCGGCATCTACCATGTGTGGCCTGCAGAGCACAAGATTTGGCAGCTCAGACCTACTAATGGGTGAAGGTGAAGGAAGAGGAGGAAGTATGTACTACGGACATATTCAGATAGCTGAAGCTAACAAACTTGAACACATCGTACAAGTTCATGCTCACAACTTCTCAATGCTGACACTATTGCTGAGATGCTCTTAGTAAGACTGATTAGAAGAGACGGGCATTGCCACAAAAACTCCGAGCAACAAAAGCACTCCCTAATTGCTTTACTATACCACGTGAATCCAAATAACTATCATGGCACTCCTTGATGCTGGTACACCATGCTGCCAGGAAACTAGGAATCTAATCATTAAGGCTCAGGCTCCCCGCCCTCAGGCAGGGGGAGCTTCTTTTTCTTTTTTTGCTCGCACACCATACTCGGAGTAGGTTGGCGACCATCTGTGCTTCTGCGACAGAGGTCCAAGTTGGCCTATGTACACCATCTAAAGCAAAAGGTCGAACGGGATCGACCAAGAGTGAGGAGTGGCAGCAGCACCACGATCGAACGCACGAACCAGAAGCTCAAGGGTAGAGTTGTCAAGATGGGCTTCGGCACCATGAAAGGCTCCTTTTGGGAATGTTTTCTCATTGCACTTGTTGCCCTTGTCAAGATGAAGCGGGGCCACAACTATCTGCTTGGTCTTGCAGAAGGAGAAAGCTGCTCGAATGATTGCAGCGTATGCCTGCACGGTGGACAGGACTCCAGTGGCAAGTTCAAATCTCCACCCATGAAGAAAAGCCTGTGCAGCTAGCTCAAAAACGGAGCAGGCAAGTCCCTCCCCTTGTCGCCAGTGCAGGGAGTTGCAAAAGCCTAAAAACACCTTGAAGTTCAAACATGACAGCTTGGACGTGGCTCGGAACTGCATTTCAACGTCAAGCTGAACTCGCCATGTGTAAAGGCCTTGAGGTGCATCCCATGCCCACCTAGGACATTGTTGCCGTGGATCGATAGGCGCAGCTTGAGGCTGCACGATTGAAGCAGCAGCACGGACACCACCCCTCTTCCTTTTTGCAGCGACGGTTGAGTTGTGACAACCACAATTGCCGAGCAAAAACGTCGACCTCCTTGGTCCGAAGGGTGCTCTTTGCCTGTGCTGCAAGTAGCCAAATATGCTGCTTTGCATGTTCATCTGCAAGCCTGTTCAGCAAGATGTCTCGCTTAGTAGACCCCGCAGCTGTAGCATCTGCTTCCGTAATCATCTCTGCTGGGAGATGCTCTAGGAGGTGCGCAGGACACCAGATAAGCTGAAGGGGCATGGCACAAGACCCAACACGTTGGTGAATCAGCATGTGCAAAAAGGTCCACCAATTGGCGTGTGTCCAATCAATCTGGACATGCCCAAGCCGTAAGAGGTCAGTGAACTGGTTTACAATCGTCAACGAATCGGTATGGATAACCAGCGGTGTCTCAGCCAGGGCAAAGGCAGTGAGGATAGCCCAGAGCTCAGCACTGTAGCTGGACAAACGCCAATGGCGGACTCGTCCCACTGCCAAGAGTTCCTCATTTTCTGCAACAACCGCATAGGCTGCCAAAGAAAGCCATGGATGATGGGTGAGCTGAACGGAGCCGTCAGTACACACATGTCGAATCTCATCAACACCATCAGCCCAAGGGACAACAGCCAAAGTGGAAGGCATGGAAACTTGAAGCTTGTCCTTAACCACATCGATGGGAAGTTCAACAATCCCCAACATGGCAAAGTTAGGCCCAAAGTAATGGGCCGCAGAGGGCTGCACCAACTCAGCCGGGAGTTGCTTGCGCTCATCGACAAAGTGTTGCAGAGACTCTTTTGCAGCACCACAGAACCGGCATCGAGGGTCATCAACGAGGCCCGAGGCTGCAAGCCTGTCCGCTGTGAGGGTGCATCCAGTGATAGCGCTCTCCCAATGAAAAAGGAAGGAAAATCCATCATTGGGAATCTTGGCAAGCTTCTTTTTGGCGGACAAAGTAAGCGAAAGATCGAGGAATCCGTCAGCTGTCCGAATATCCTTCCGTGGCATCAAGCAGGCTGTCCGGTAGCACTTGTCGGCTGCTAAGCTCTTGAGGATGCACTTGAGATCAGACAGTGAAAGCTCCAAGAAATCAACAGCTGGGGCATCCAAAATAGAGAAGCCAAATGCACTACACCAGGAAATGTCCAAAATTTGGCAAGCCTGCCCAAATTGGCCCATCCAAGATTGTGGTGCGAGTTGATCCTGCTCATAGAGGTCTTTCCAATCTTGCCTTGCACATGAGGTGACCCGCAAGAATCTGGCCGACTCAATAATTGTAGTCACCGCACGAAAAAGGAAAGGATCAAGCTTGTGGGCCTTATGTACAAGGCACAAAAGTAAATGCTTGGAGCGCCACATGGGTCTATCTTGCCATAGTGCGTCGGCAATGGCACACTGAAGTCTGGCAAGGTGCCTCTTTGGAAGGAAGTTCAGCTGCGGTGCAAATGCAATCTGTGGAAGGACTTTGGTGGTAAGAATCTGTGCCCTGGCAGCACTGTTGCAAGGGAGGGCCCTTATGGCCTCACAATCACGCAAAGCTGATTGCAACTTCCCGGGTGGAAAACTACCAGCATGCTTCAGCGTTGTTTGCGCATGGGCCCCAAGGATGTTCACTACTTCAACTAACCGCATACTCGGAAAAGCTTGCTTAAGGGCTTTGCGAAGAGGACCAGTCGTAGCAAAAAGCTCACGTTTGCTGGCATTGAGAAACTGTCCACAAATTGAGTCCCAAAGCTCCGTGGCCCGGACTGCAGCAACCAAGTTGTCAATGGAGGGCAGCCGGGTCCATATGTAGGTGTCATCAATGAATGCTCGAAAATCAACGCCATCAATGTTGCCAATGATCCAGACCCAAATGGCCATATGCACATTGATACACAGTAAACTTAGCGAACAGCCTTGCACAACCCCGTTCGGTGTCGAAATCGGCTGGCTTCTGGTCCATTGTTTGAAAGAAAGAAATCTTGTCATACGAGAATAAAGGCCAAGGAATCCGCAAACAAAGCCTTGTGGAAGGCCCAGCGCAAGGAAAATTGCAGCGCACAGACGTGGCATAAGCCGATCGAAGCACTTTGCTTTATCAAGCTTGAGGCCAGCGAAGGAGCCTTGAAAACTGTGTGCCTTATCAATTTCCAGCTGCATGGTCATGTGGACCTCGGACATCTGTCTGCCTTTGACCCCACCTTTCAACTGCGGTGGCATCACATCCTGCTGCCATTGCTGGAGTTGTAAAAAAACGAAGTCCTGTGTACAGCAGTGTGAAAACTGACTGGAGGGAAATGAGCCGCTTGGCCAGAGGTGAATCACTTCCATCCTTATTGTGGATGACCATCCGAACTTGCGTGAGGATGGTGGGGAACTCATCTGAGCCGGCTTCGATACTATTGAAGAGCGCAGCAACCGGTCGAAAGGCCACCGGGGGAAGGGCCTGTACCTCCCTGGTTTGCCATCCATCAAGGCCAGCAGCTGCATCAGGCCGCCGCTTGGCTGCCTGCCTTCAAATTTGGTCCTCCGTGATTGGAGGTAGCTGGATAGCCTTGCCCTTGTCATGGATGTAGGGCCAAACTTGTTTGAGCAGTTGCATCTCGTGGTCATGGTGGGTGTTCACAGAGAAGACTGTATCCCATTTGTTGGCAATGGTGTCCATGGCCGCCTGAGGGTCATAAATGATATTGCCAAGATCATCCTCAACGAGATTTGGTGGGACCACTCTGCCTTTCCGTTTAAGGTATTGGTACACAATCTTGCCAATGGAGGGCGATGTAGTGGCAGACTTCATAGCATCACGCCACTTGGCAATTGCCGTAAACTTCAATTGCTTGGTTTCAGCCGCAATGGCCTTGAGAGTAATCTCAACAAGGTGCGGAAGGTCATGTGCAAAGACTTGCCGTACATGGAAGGGAAGGAGTTTGGCAACTTTCAATCGACGAAGCAACCGATGCTGAGTGTTTCTGAAAGTCCGATCATCACCAGTTCCAGTAACAGCGCGCGTAAAGCGGTACTCCAGTTCACGAAGAGACCGAAGAGACGCTCTAAGCAGGTGTAGGCGTGGAGAGGCAAGATTGCCGGAAGCTTCTTGAGGAGCACAGGCCCGGACACGTTGGAATTTCGGTTGCTTGCCCCTCACACAAGGACCAGCTCCCCAACGGGCACCGTTGAGCAGAAGGAGTTGAGTGGCAAACTGATTAAATACATCCCACTTGGCATCGGCAGTGTCTGCAGCTGTGAAGTCGCTCGTATATCCACGCCACAACTGTTCACCAAGCGCATTGACCGGACACCCAGGATCGTCTGGGTTGTGATGCTGGACATGCTCAAGGTTCATCTTGGCCGGCATCTGCATGATAGAGCCGACTTGGAGGACTCGGTCCCAAGCAAAGGTTGCATGGACGGGGCGGTGTTGACGGTCACGATGGTCCAGCACCTGGATGTCAATAAGAGCGGTCAACGCAGTACGATTCATCAGGATACCATCGATGGACGACTCACCTTCACCATCTACAGCAGCGGAATGCTGAAAGAAGGTACAGGGCCGGACCACATCACCCTGCTCGTCGGTGCGTAGAAGCGGGTCAGCCCAACCACAGTGGTCCAAAGCCACCTGCACGGCAGGGTACATCCCTGGTTCCATTTGAAAGTCACCGCCCAGGAGGATCGGTATGTCGCCGAATTGAGCCGCCACAGTAAATATCAAGTCCA